TCTGTGTGTGTGTGTGTGTCTGTGTGTGTCTGTATGTATGTGTATAACTTGTGATTAGAGTATTTAAAGCTCTTTAAACTTTATACATGAACTTAATCTTCCAGAGCAGCCCAGGATAAGTAGGATAGAGAAAAATAGTGAAAAGAGAAATATCTTTTAAAATTTTCCTGGCTTTATTATCCACATGCCCAAGAAGGATTTTTAAAAAATTATTTTCATTCCATGAAGCTTCTCTTTTCCTTGGTATAGTGGGAACAGCTCCGGACTCAGAGTCAGGATCAGTGAATTCTGATTCTGCCACTTAGGATGTGTGTGGCATTGGGCAAATCACTTAACCATTCTGGGCTTCTGATTCCCCTATAAAATGATGGGTTGGACTAGATGACCTTTGTGGTCTCTTCCAGCTCAATAGGTTTACTGTGATCTACCTTCTCTAGCTCACATATTTAGCATAGGATTGGGCATATGCTACATCTTATATAAATACAAGTGGATTGTCTGGTTCCTTTGGTTGTATGAGCATTCTTTATGACTACTATGTGATACCATATTACCCTCTGCTCCTTTTCTTTGTGTTCTAGACAAAAGACCCATTTCCTTCTCGCTCTCTGGCCCTCCACGGAAACCTCAAGAAAGCAAAGAGCCTATTGCACTGACAGGGGACCAGTCCTTCCAGGGCTCCTTACCTTCTGTAGTCTCAGCATTGGCCAGGGATTCACCACCCTCCCCAAACGACATGAGCTCTAGCGCCCTGACCAGCCCCAGTGAAGAGCCTTGGACCAGCAGCCAGGACGACCCCCAAAATGATGCCAATGATGGGCCTGAGTATTTAGCCATTGGCAACCTGGGTAGTCGAGCCCGAGCCGCCAGCTGTCAGAGTAACAGCAGCAACTCCAAGAGTAGCAGTTCTAACTTATTCTCTTCCAGCAGCTCCCAGAAAGCCAACTCTCCTGCTTCCTCTGTAGGGGAGCAAGAGGAAGTTGGTCAGAGCCAAGTGCCTGGGGTCCTTCGTAGGTCCAGTTTTTCAGAGGGCCAGACACTGGCCATTTCTGGTGGAGCCAAGAAGAGTCACACCCGTTCACATTCTGACACCAACATAGCTTCTAGGAAAGTCCAAGGTAATGAATGGTTCATTCAGTACTCTCAGTCTTGTTGAATTGATGTAGGGGATACGTTGCAGCCAGAAATCTGTAGCTGACAAGAGGAACTTCACTATTGCTAATGGTCTTGTAAATAGAATCTGGGGAAAGGAAGGTTTTCCAGCCTCCCTGATTCTGTAGGTCTTTGAAAATTATTATTCTCTTCCTTTATCATTGTTTCTAACGGATTGATTCAAAATGGACCAAAAAACATTTCATGGGTTCTCTTTCCTTGATCTCAAGCACTAATAGAAGCTAGGGCTCGTGGCTATTAGAGTTAAAGGGATTCCCTTAGAATTTTAAGTTCCTCAACCTCTTAAAATCAGAGAAACTACATGCATGAACTTTAAGAACAATTTCACTAAATTCCTACTACTAGCATTTCCTTTGCTCAGCCTAGTTTAGCACAGAATGCTGCTTTGAAAACAGTCCAATGAGACATTGGAGTTTGTTGCTGGAGAATAGAGGGTAGAGACGTTAGGAGTGGGGGAAACCTTTGTGACCTAGTAAATGGAACTGAGAGGGCCAGCTCCTCCATTATTAGTTCTGTTTGGGTGGCAGTGAGGCAAAAGGGTCCTGACTTCTTATACCTTCCTCATGTAAAGGCCATATGGCACCAGGGAAATGCGGATTGCCATTTGCCCCATCGTCATCCTCCCTAGGCTATTGGGATGTCTAGCAGCCCTCTAGGGAGTTTCCATTGCAATGGCATTCTCACGAACTCAAAAAGCTGACATGAACCTTTTATGCTTGAAACCAGCCTTGGGTGGGGAAGGTCCCCATTTGGAAAAGAAAGGACAGGAGGAGAGCCCTGACCAACAGCTGGGGCCATCTTTGGTTTCTGATGATATTCCTACAGATGCTAAAGGTTTGTTTCTTGGAGGTTAGGAGATGGGGACTTCATCCTTAGCTGCCCACATACGTAATGATTCCTTTGACCATGTTGTTAATTTGGCTGATCTGGAGATGTCTAAGAAAAACTCTGAAAACAAAGTCTTTGTCCTGATTAGCCTCTGGTGACAGCCCCAGGAATAGCTGGGCTGGGTCCTCTGTTGCAGAATTTTTGCTAGTCCCTGTTACTTTCCCTGCTTTTGCTTACTGGCCTGTGGCCATATACTTTCCTCTGCCCTCTATTCCTGAATCTGTGCAGAGGGAAAACCAAAATTCCAGAAACAGTATTAGAAAAGGGAGCCATGGAGGCTTCACCAGCAGGGTAAAATATTCCCCTGAGATGGTGAAAGATGGTTATGTGGTAAGTAAAAGGCGCTGTCTGTCTCTCTCTCTGCCTCTGTCTCTCTCTCTCTGTCTCTCTCTCTCTCTCTCATTCTCACTCACTCACTCTCACTGTTGTCTCTGTATTCTTTTTGCCTCCCTTTCTCTTCACCTACAGAAGGCCTCAGGAATATCACCATTATAGTTGAAGATCCTGTTGCAGGTTTGGGAACCAGTCCTGTTTTCTTCCATCTCCTCACCTGCAACCATTTCTTTGGCTTGACTCAGAGCCTCCCTTCACATTCTGGTGTTAAATCAAGTCTGGTTAGTTTGGAGGCATCTTTGCCCTTCTCTTCTCTTATTAAGCTTTTTCAGGCGCTGGGCCTAAGCGCTGGGGATACACAGAAAGGCAAAAAACACATTCCCTGTCTTCAGAGAGCCCACACTATCTAATGGCGGGTAGACACTGTGCAAACAATTATGTACATACAAAATAGGCAGCCTCGGGAGGTAAGGAAAGACCTCCTACGTAAGGTTGGCTTGGAGCTGAGACTTGAGAGGGAAGTCAGGGCAACCAGGAGGCTTGCCACCAAAATCGGCCTGACTGACCATTAAGGCATCTCTGCTGAAGTGGAGTGGCTCAGTCTTTTGGCAGCCTCTAGGAGAAGTCAAAAATTATCCACATGATTTTTCCCATTGAAATTGAAAGATATAAGACTTTACAATGGGTTGGGTGGCACAGTTTCTCAGGGACTAACACCAAACCATGCTGCTTCTCTTGAATTAACACCAGTTTGTATATTCCTTCCTATGACCCAGAAGCAGGTGCTGCATGTTCTTTACCATCCTCACTTCTTTTTGCCCTTTGATCCATTTTCCACCGTTGTCCAGTCTATGGAGTTGTTTGTACTTTTTTTTTTTTCCATTTCAGTCACTGCACAGGATTTTCTCAGTGAAATAAGTCTTGTTCACGTGGTCTCTATGTGGTTGTTGAACAAACATTAGAATTGTGTCCAGTGGCTTCTATTTAAGTTTAGATGCTACATTTTAAAGGGAGGCACTGGCAAAACAGGTGGAAAGAATTTGGAAAACCATGTCCTTAAAAAGAATGGTTGAAAAATAATGGGTGTACCTAGCCTGGGAAGAAAGAGACTACGTGTAGATGTGATAGTTGTCTTTAGCAGTGAAGTTTTTAATATTTTTGAAGAAGGCATTCCCCTTGTTCTGTGGATGGAAATCCACAGGATTAAATTATTAAGAATGGAAATTCCAAGAAGGCAGATTTTTAGCTCAACCTAGAAAAGAAACTGTTAATTCTTAACAGTTTATTCAGTTATGGAATGGATTACTAGTAGTGAGATTCCCCATTGCCCAAATAGTAACAATTACCATCTGCCAACGATACTGGAGAGGGACTTTTTCCACTACATTGGTTTCCACCTGAAAATTCTGTAATTTATCTGGGTCGTTGGGTGTTCCATTCCTTGACTGCCTGGGCACAACAGACTAATTAGTACTGACCTCAGCAACATGTCTTTATTACACACTTACTGGCCTTGGCCTTCTCTCCTTACTGTGGTGTCTGGTGGTCAGGGACACACGCATCTTGACCAAGGTGATCCTTTTAGAGCTCGAAGTCGAAACAGTACACCAAGGCCTCACCCGACCATGTGATAGATAACAAACCCTAAGTAGGGCAGCTGACAAGTTGGTGTTCGTTGGGTTTCACCCCTTATTTACCTGCCTGGAACCACCCTCCTTTTCTCTTGGCAACTGTGGTAGTGAAAGATGAAATGACTGAGGAAACAAGGGTTTGAGCTTCTGAGCATTTTGATTTATTAAGCAGTGCATTGCCAATTACCTGACAAATTGGGACCAATAGCCTTTCTCAGCTTTAGCACTGGACCCCAAATACAGGGGGAGACAGATTTTTTTTACACATTAAAAACAATTAATCAAATAAGACCAATTAATTAAAAGAAAACAGTTAACCAGAATACAAAATTAGATAATCTGATTTCTAATTGGAGAAATGCTTAGGGACTTTCCAAGTTGGGAGAGGGAGCTTGAACAGGTGCAGTTCCCTGGAATCAGGAAAGAAGATGTCCCACTTCACAAAGTGTCTGTATTTAACTAAAGAAACGTGGAAACAATAATTGATTGATCAGTACAGAGACAGTTTTCAGATAAGATACATGGGTTGCTTAAGATAGATAATTGTGAAAAATTGTGCATCAATCTTAGGATCTGACTGGGTATCTGGTCAGCACAATGGAGGTCCTTAGGTAAGGGTCTCTAAGCAGCAACAGAGGTGATCTGGATTCCCAGCCATCCAGGGATAGGTATAAGCAATTAAAATAAGGTTTTCTTCTAATCCCCATAATTGAATAAATTTTTCTCAGAGGACAGAAGTTGGACTAAACACATAATTGAATAGAAAGGGAACTGAGCTAACTCCAGAACTGAGTCACAAGATGAAGTCAGTGTTGTTCACTCCATTCCCACAATGCACCACTTGCTGTCCTAATCCCCTCAATTCCTCACAACCTCAAGGTCCATTCTGTTCCTGTTCTGGCAGAGAGCTGCCCATGACAACCTCTGTGGAACACTAGAACCTCCTTTCTTGCACCCAGTCCCACTGCTCCCCATAACCATTTTATGCCAAGACAACAAGTGATCAGCTTTTGTCACAGTTCTGATAAGGCTGGGTACAACCAGTTCTATCTCTTTCACTTGGTATTTCCAGCCGTAGCTGTCCTATTTTTCCCTTGAGTACCTGATGATATTGCCTGTAAGGCAGCTGCTTGATTTCTTTAACCCAGTTCAGGAATGGGTTTAATTTGCACGTGTTAAATTTTCAGTCCAGATCCAATTGTATAAAATAAAAATGAGCGGCCAGTGCGACCTCCTTGTAACTTTGCAATATAACATTAAGGAAAGGTGGGAAATTTGAATACGTTTGCCTTCCTTTGGCAGTAAAGAGATGAGTTCTGAAGGCAAATGTGCCCTAAATTGAGGATGTTATGAAGGGGTAGTCCTTATTGGAAGACAGGTGAAATAAATTGGGGTTTTTCTGGCAATCATATACCTCCTTGGGTGAAAAAATAAACTTTTTTTTTCTTCCTGGGTATACTTAGACAATATAGTGGCTCTCTGGGTATCCCATTTCTGTTGTCTTAGTAAGAAGAATGATCTTGTGAATGGTCCTGGCCCTTAACAAGAAATCCCCTAGAAAAAAAAAACATTGGGTCAGGAAAGAAAGACAATGGGATAGCTGATTCGTAAACCCCTTTTGATTTGCTTGTTTCTCACATTCTTATCCACTCTTGCTACCTTCTCTTCTTACTATTGGAGACCGCTTGACCTGGCTTCATTTCTCCTTTCCACATGTTCCTAGACTGTTCCCTGTTAGTATGCAATTTGCCCTTTTTGTCAAGAGAATTAGGGATGAGCACACCTTAAAGGCTTAAATTCTAAAGTTGAAAAGGGATATTTCTCCACTGTTCACCCCTTTTTTCTGTCCTTCATTCTTCCCCATCCCCCGGTGTGCTGGCTGATATCAGAATCCAGAAATGATAGTTCAAAGTTGAAAGCACCTGTCTCCTCCTCTGGCCGAAACAGTGAAGTCAGCATTTCCAGCTCTCTGGACGTGGAGTATGGTGAGTGAGTGTACGGGGTGTCAGGAGAGCCAGGGCTGGGCGGAGAAATGGGGTATGTCTTGTTTGTTTTTTATCTTCGTCTCCTTGCTTTTGCGCCCAACCCCCTGCACTTTGGAGTAGCTCAGCTCTGTGGAAAGTATGTATTGTACAGGCTAACTTTCCCTTTCTCCATTGCTAACTTTGGTGCTATAAGTCACGCTTTTCTGTTACTGCCCTTTCTTGCTGTTCTTCCTTGATACTTCCCTCCTCTCCCTCTGTTGGACCTTTTGTTGCTATCTGATAGTCTAGATGGGATGGCCAAGATCTCCTGCAGAGTCAGTGGGACCTTGAAGATGTCCTTGTGGAGGCCTTGGTGAGGTGACTAGAGAACCCCTAGTGGCAGCAGGGGTGGGACCATATCTTTTTCTGATTCTTAGCAGAGGAATTTGGGGTAGGGGGTTGGGGTCTGTCTGTTGCAGGTCTGGGCACTGAACTAATCCGGCTCTATCTGTGGTGCTCCCTGAGGGCTGAGTGTCTCCAGTGACCTCACCAAACTTTCCTACTGAGAGTTTCATGAACTGAACTTCCTTAGGTTTAGAGGTACTCCCATGGTTTAGACAGAGACTTGTTCCCTCCAGCTTGGTTCTGTTGTCTGGAGATGGCTGGGAGCATCTTTGCTATTCCAGATACTTCGTTTTTTGACAAGCTGGCTCTAATGATTTGTGTCCCCATTCCAAGCTGACCACATTGCTGCATTGTTCTTTCCCAGATGGTAATCAGTACCTATGCTCAGGGGAAGGCATGTTCCGAAGGCCTTCAGAAGGACAGTCCCTCATCAGTTACTTGTCTGAACAGGATTTTGGTAGCTGTGCGGACCTGGAGAAGGTAAAGAGGTTCAGGGGCTAAAGAGGAGGTGAAAAAGGCTGGCTTTGGAGGCTGTGGTCCTCACATGAGTCTCCCTGTTTTACCCCTCACAAACAGAAGCTAGCTCAGATCCATCTCTAGCCAACTCCAAGGAGCCTTTCTCCCTGAATCTAAATAATTCGTCCCTGATCTCTTGCCAGAAAGTAGACAGTGAGGAGTTGGGTGTGTCATCTGGTCCCTTGATTCATCACTTAAAAATGCTTTTTCAGGGCAGCTAGGAGGCGCAGTGGATAGAGCACTGGCCCTGGATTCAGGAGGACCTGAGTTCAAATCCGTCCCCAGACACATAAAACTTACTAGCTGTGTGACCCATTGCCTAGCCCCCCCCCCAAAAAAATGCTCTTTCCAGACTCCCTTCCTAAGTGCTTTGATACAAGTCATAGAACAACAATATTCACTCTTGTTTGTGTAAGTCTATAGGAAAGATTCTGCTGTGTAGGCTCTAGATTACAAGGAAGGGCCCTTGGGCCCCTGCTGTTTTTGCTCTTGTTTTTGCTGGAGGTGGTGCAGGAAGAGGTGGGCTTTATAGAATCAAAGGGAGAGGAGCTGATTTCAGATGATGTGGAGCATAGTTGCCCAGTGATGAGGGCAGAGAGAACTTAGAAAAGAGGTTTTCTAGTGGTCAGCTCTTCCTCTGGTAACTTCTACAGAGTGTGATTAGCCAAAGCAGTGAGTGTCTGGGGACCTTTTAACATCCCTGGCTCTTCACCGAGTAAACTTCCTTTGGTACTTTCCCTGCCCTAGGAGAATGCCCACTTTAGCATCTCAGAGTCCCTGATTGCTGCCATTGAACTAATGAAGTGCAATATGATGAACCAGCACCTGGATGAGGAAGAAGATGACAGTGATAAGGAGATTCAGGAGCTGAAACAGAAAATCCGTCTTCGGCGGCAGCAGATCCGCACCAAAAACCTCCTCCCTGCCTACCCAGAGACAGAGCGTGAAAGTGAGTCTCTGGGCCTGTCCTAGGTTGCCCTTGCCTTGTCTTGCCCTGCCCTGCTTTGGTCTAATCCATCGGGGATCTCCTGAGTTCATTTGGAGCATCATACTCCTACCTGGGGCTATTGTGCTCCTGCAGGGCATGCCTCTCCATCATCTCATCCTCATTGTTCCTACCAGAGCCAGGTTATTAGGCTTGACCTAACAGGTCTGGTCTGTTTCTCATCAAAGGAACTGTTGTTGTCCTAAGTTGGTTCCTGTGTTCCCAAGAGTGATTTTTTGTTCTTGCTCTGTAATATGCTAGGATAACTCAACCCTCTGAGAAGCCAAGGCTACAAGACCTTTATATTCTGGCTTTATATTCTGTTTACAAGATGGATTCTGAGATGACAAACCAGTAAAATGTTTTCATTTTTTTATCCTGTTTACCTGTTAGGGTTTCACTTGATACCTCTTTTTGAGTTCCTATTGCGTCCTATCACTTAGGGCCTCACAGCCTTACCTCTTTTCCTTCTTCAGTTGCTGGGTTGTAATGGCACATGGCAGTCCGGTTAACTACTTCTTCTCACCCTGAAAACAGGCTTTCTGGTCACTTCCAGTGGGTCCCAGTTCAGCTCACGTGATTCAGCACGACTTTCTGACTCTGGCTCCACTGATGAGGTTGATGAATTTGAGATCCATGGTAAGAGATGTCACACGATCACACACAAATTTCCATTGTTTTCTTCCTTCACCCTTGAACTGCAGCCTCAGGAACCTACCCTAGGTAGGCGCTGACTTTAAAGTGAAACACATTCCCTGATAGGAAACTAGCTGTGTCTATGATTATTAACAGTCTCTTGCTTGCTGGAATAGACCTATCATTCTCAGAGTCTCTGGGCTCTTGTTCATATCAGTCTAGGAAACTCATTTGCTTATGCAGATTTCCAGATGTAGTAACTGGATCTTTGCTCCATTTGACTTACTAATAGGTTGACTTATTGCTCAAAATACCTAGGTAGCTTGGAAGTTACTATACCTCGAAGTATACAAGCCACTTCTTAGTTCTTTTCATGAGAGACACTTAGAGATCCTCCCATGTTTCCTTTAAGCCCATGAAACTAGGATGGAGGAATCTTCTGAGTCATTTAAGTTTAATGAGCTGTCATTGCTAAGAAGTGAAACTTTCACCAAAGGTGACTTTCTGACATGATATTTTCTCACACTGTGCAGAGATGAATATAACTTAATGAACCTGAATCTACCTGCTAACCCCAAAGCTTAAGTATTATAGAAAGATAGATGTCCAACTTGAAGGGAAACTTACTTAAGAACACTGAAGTGACCTGGTGTGGTTGCCCAGGGGCTGTTCAACTAGTCAGGTTCAGTTTTTTCAACTGGCAAGAAATAGAGCAAACATTTGTGGACCAGCTCGGGCTATGGTTGTTACCTTGCCATTGGGAGCATGCCTTCAGATGGGTTTGGAGAGGTGGAATAAAAATATCCTTTGAGCTCTGGTGGGTACCTGCTCTCTGGACTTGACCTCAGTCTCCCAAGGATAGCCAGAATTTGATTTGGGGATGTAAAAATGAAGGGTTAAATCCTGGCACCCAGAAGGAGGTAGTGGGCTCCAGTCTTATCCCTGCCCTGTTACTTCTCCTTCCTGTGACCTGAGCACTGAAGTGCACCATTTTGTTACCGTTGTTACACAGATGGTAGTGATGGGTCTAACCTGATTCACTCGTCAAAGAACGGACTGTCAGTGTCCATGGCTTCATTGTTTTCAGGTAGCCTGTGTGAAGAGTGTTCTCTGTGTGTGTTTACGTATGTCTCTAGCACGTGTGTGTGCCCTGTGATTAATGTAGCTTAATGTTAGAGAATCACAAGGCTTCTTGGGGAACTAGGTAGAAACCTGAAAATGGATGCCATATATGTGGAATGAGCCTTATTGAATTCCCTGCCTGCACAGTCCCCCCCACTCATCTTGTAGTTCTCTGATTCTGTCTTCTTCTGAAAATTCCAAGATAAATGGTGAATATAGGGGGTAAATTGGAGATGAGAAGTCAAATTTATAATTTAGTCACTGGTGATATCTAGGTAGAAGGATTATCATGAAAGGAGGTTTATAGAGTCTGAATTCAAGAGCCTGTACTCAGGATTGGCTCTTACCAGGTAGACAGTGAAGCCTCGTGAGCTTCACAGGAGCTGACCCACTTGAAGGTAGAACACATTCATCCATCGTTATAATTAAAAGCAAAATGTTTTATTAAATAGCTAAGAATACATATTAAATAATATTACTAATTACTTTTATATAAATTAGTATGTGCAATTAGAAGCAGTGTAGAAATGCAGGAGTTTAGGTAGCTTTCATATTCATCCTTAACTGTTACCTATCATTAATTAATCTAATCTTTCTTGAGTAGTAGAATAGAACTAATTTACCCTAGATCTAACACATCTTAAGCCATTTTAGCTTCAAAATCTTTCCTCAACTGTCAGACTTTTCCATCATAGCCATAGTCTCTTTACTTTGTTTAGGCTGTTGTTTAGGCTAATGAGGAACTGGGCAACTAGGCCTTATTTGGCCTTTGTGACACTTCTCTTCAGCCACGATGCTTTTACCATGTTTCTTCTGACATCCTTGCATCCCTTCTTAGCTCCATTTGTTCCCTTTACTATTCAGTAATGAAATTTCTTTCTAAAGATCTAATTTCTTTTAGGATCAAAATCCTAAATCCTTGAGGACTTCTTCCCCCCACCCCCCCTCACACTTTTTCTTTCTTTCTTTCTTTCTTTCTTTCTTTCTTTCTTTCTTTCTTTCTTTCTTTCTTTCTTTCTTTCTTTCTTTCTTTCTTTCTTTCTTTCTTTTTAAAAGCCTGTTCAAGGTCTCCCAAACTCAGTTAACTGCATATCAAGAGTTTCTCTTCTTTCAAGCTAACTGTTGTGGTCTGTTTTCTGGAGTTATCTTCTGTGAATGTAGATGCAGTTGTGACTTTTGTTTGGTTTTCTTCTTTATTCCATCTGACTTGGCAGAAAAAAGCTACAAGGTTTGGAGGAGATGGAAATGGATATCCCCAAGTCTTGACTTTCATTGCCTGAGAAGCATCAGAACTTGTGCTTTATGATGTAATTTCTATCTCTTAGAAATGATAAAAATGGAGATCCGGACCAAATTATGGAGGGACTAGAATGCTGGACCCAGATCTTTGTCCTGAAGGAATCACAACCTTCCACAATGGGTTTTTTGAGCACTCATAATGAGTCATTAAAGTTTGACAGATATAACATATTATGACTGAAGACCTTTGAAATTTCGGGTGCCTTTTCTACTTATCCTGTCACATTTTCTCCTTACTTTGAAGAGAACTAGTTACCTGAGGGTTTTCTTTTTGTCTTTTAAATATAGCAACCTCTTCCATTTTTGGGACACACACCACTTTACCTCCCTTCCTTTCTTATACCCTGGGGACCTAAGAACTTTAAAGCTCAGCCAACTCTATGATGTGAGAGATTGTGTGGGCTTCGTTCAATTTCATGTGCAGGGGGAAAAGCACTGGTTTGGGTTTGGAGGACTTGAATTTGAGTCCCAGCTCTGTTTCTTAATTGCCTGTTTGACCTTAGGCAAGACAGTTGACTCTCTGAGCTTCACATTTTTTACTGTAAAATATCAAGATCGGACTAGATCATCTCTTAAGGTCTTTTCCTACTTAAAATCCTCTGATCCTGTGAATTTGCCAGGAAATTTCTTGATTAAAAATGATCCAGCTCACATAAGTGAAGGACATACTCTCCAATGTCCATCTGCCTTTGAACCTCTTGCCAGAGATCCCTAACTTGAACAAGGCTACATGCACACACACAAGTATTTAGGCGCCATATCAGTAAGCATAAAATTCATCAAGTTCCTTTAGTGCTAAGGGAATAGAGAATAGGGGAGTAGTCAGAGTTTGAGATGAAGTTCATCAGGGATGGTAAATTTTGAGCTGCCTTTTGAGGGAGTGAACAAGAATGGTGAGAGCATTGGGGTCCTCCTGACCTAGGCAGATGCTGCTGGGTGGCCTGCCTAAGCAGGCTTTGGTTGACCCTCTTCTCTTCTCTAGATCTCAAGTAAATGTAGGCGGTGGTTGACAGTACTAGAAACTTACTCCCAAAAATCTTGATAAGAAGGTAAAAAAAACTTAGCAGCTTCTCACTAACTTAGCCCTAAGAGCTGTAAGAAGGAGTGTATACAGTTATTTAGTTTGTCTCCTTCTGGGTCTCTGTTTTACTCAATTTTTTCTTTGGGGATTTACTGAACCATAGAGAAATGTCTGTGCTCCCTATTTCATGGGACGATGAAGCCTTTTTGGCTAAGCCTTTTTTTTTTTTAATTTCTTTTTGATGAGGCAGTCGAGTTAAGTGACTTGCCCAGGGTCACATAGCTAGTGAGTGTCAAGTGTCTGAGGCCGGATTTGAACTCAGATCTTCCTGACTTCAGGGCTGGTGCTCTATCCACTGTGCCACCTAGCTGCCCCTAAGCCTTCATCTTTGAGGACCTTCCCCCTCCCTCCCCAAAGTTCAGAGATCTCTCCCTCTGTGGGCGTTATGAGACATTTCAGCTTTCACTGGGGCAGTACCAGAATAGTGATGGGGCAAGGCCAAGAGTTTGGTTGAGTTTAGTCGTTTCTTGTTGTTTTGACCAGGCAGTGGTGTGACACTGTCCCAGTTAGGATCCTTCCTCAGCTTAATCTCTTTCCTTAGTCTTTTCCCACCAGACTTCTGTATGTGTTTGTGTGAGTCCGTAACCGCTCTGTCGCCCTTAGTGCTGTGTGTGTAGTATCACTGACTCAGCCTAATCCTCACCTGGTGGTGTCGCCTGTGACCGCTGAACTGTGGGTCATGCCTCAGGCATCACTGACCCTCTCTCCCACCTGTGAGCCCGCTCCCCATCCTCCGTAGAAGACAGCGCTTAGTTGTCCCCTGCAGAGTGCCCCGCTGGCAGTAGCATAGGACGAGTGCTTACTTCATGGTTGTTTACCTTCTTTTCTGTTCCCCTCACATTTTGTTTGTATTCAGATGCTGACATCAGGAGGAGCACAAGCTCCAGCAACAGATCCCACCTTTCTTCAGAGTCCTTGTAAGTGTTTCCCTGGTGAAACCTCCTTCCCTGAGGCATAAGGAGAAACCATCAGGTCTCTTGGGGGCCTGGGGACAAAAGGCCTTGGCTGCCTCCGGGGCTTCTTGGCTGTGTGCCATAGTGGTGAGCATGGAGGCATGAGAGCAGCAGCTGCAAGGTCACCTGTCAGGGTGTGGGGAGAAGATTCCTACTTTGGGAGGGAGAGAGGGAGGACCTCCATCAGGAGCCAATGAGATGCTGTTTGTTGAGGGCTTAGCACCATGCCTGGCACCTCATAGGCACCTTATAAATGCTCATTCCACTCTTTCCCTTTCCCTCCCTCCCTTTCTAAATCTTAAGATTCTGTTCTGAGAAGCACTAAGCCTTAGTACAACACATACTTGAAGTGAGGGCTAGCCCTTTTTAAGTGTAAGTGGTTACGTGGTAAGGGAGCTGGGGACTTGAACCCGAGGCCAGTGCTCTTTCTTCCACACTATAAATCAGATCCCAACCAAGGAAGCAGGGGATCTTAGTTTCTGAATATGAAAATAAGAGAATTCAAGAAAATCAGACTTATTAGAGTTGAAATCCCCTGGGGTAGCTAGGTGGCACAGTAGATAGACCACTGATCCTGGAGTCAGGAGGACCTGAGTTCAAATCCGGCCTCAGACACTTGACACATACTAGCTATGTGACCTTAGACAAGTGACTTAACCCAATTGCCTCACCAAAACCAAAAAAAGAAAGAAAAGAAACCTCCCTAAGCAACTCCTGCTGGAATTCCAGTTGGGTACAAGAGAAGCTAAAGAAAACAAAAGCAGTTGATACAGACGGGCCTCCAGTCCACACCTCCCTTCCTCCCGTAGCCTGGGTAAGAGGCCCTGCAGCCCTCCCTCCTTCCCAGCGCTCAGTCTACATGCTCTCTTCCCCGTCTCGTTCTCCCCACTAGCTCCCACTGTTTCCTGCATTCCACATCGGCCGAAGCCGTGGCCATGGGACTCCTGAAGCAGTTTGAAGGGATGCAGCTCCCAGCTGCCTCAGAGCTTGAGTGGCTGGTTCCTGAGCATGATGCTCCACAGAAGGTAACCTGCTCCTTTCACCCTCTTCCTTCCTGCTTCAAGCCTTTGCCACAAGGCTGCCTCACATGGCATTTCTCCTTTCTCCTCCCAGGTTCTTTGCACATGTGACACCTGGGGTGAAGAGACATGTTCCCTGCCCCATCAGTTGACAGGGGAAAAGGGTGGCTTGTGTATCCACTCCTTTGGTACTCATAGGCCACACATTAGACTTCTATCTCTTTATCACCCGGCTGTGTCTGTGAGAGAGCCAGGGACAGGCTTTCTGGGATAGACAGACTTTTTCTCTTTTTGTTTTGCTTTGGGAGTGACAGATAGTTTTCTATGTGGTGAGTCTAGACCTTAGTCCTAGACTCCTCTCATCCATGGGAAGGAAAGCAGAGTGTCAATAAGATGCAGGACATTCTGTCAGATTCATTCAGAGAGAGGCCAGCTGAGCTTGGGGGTCAGTCTCAGGCTTTATGTTCATTCCATAGCAAATCCAGGGACCCAGTCCTGTCCCTGTTCCCCCTCATCCCTAGGGATCACAAGGATTGACCTACCATCCTTCCCAATATCCTCCAGACCAGGGGTTTTTAACCTGGCATCTGTAAACGTCTTTTAAAATATTTTGATAACTTTCAGCAAAATTGATTCTCTTTGTAACCTCATATATTTAATTTTATGCATTTAAAAACATTATTCTGAGGGGGAGGCCATAAATTTTAACAGATCACCAAAGGAGTCACCTTTGACAGTGACGGTCAGAATAAAAAAGATTAATACCTTCTGATCCTAGACTAAAGCTCGGTCTGTCCCCAAACCAGAAGTGGGATTCTGGGTTGGCATCTCTTCCCATTGGGCCATTATTGCCCCTCAGGGACAGTGACAGAATTTTAATAGCAGAAAGGAGTTCTTGGGAGATTGTTGGAAAATTGTGCCTGAGAACCAGTGTACTTGACTCAGATGGATTGGCTAGGATGGAGCCCAGGGAAGATGGGGCAGGGATAGAACTGGCTCAGAGAGAAAGCTAAGGTTACCCAAAGTCACCTTGGTTGTTACTGAAGCATCTTTCAATCATGGCATTTGTTGATCGGTAAAATATGTGGGATAGAGCATGAGCTCCTGGTGGGCAGGGATGGTTTCATTTTTGTCTTTGTATTCCCTTGCATAGTATCTTGCAAGCAGTAGGGCTTAACAAATTCTTGTTGATTAATCAACAAGGGAGGGATGGATTTCTTGTGCTGCTCCCCTCCAGGTCCCTTTTGTCTCTCTCTTTCAGCTCCTGCCCATCCCTGATTCATTGCCCATCTCACCAGATGATGGGCAGCATGCTGACATCTACAAGCTACGCATCCGAGTTCGAGGGAACCTGGAGTGGGCCCCACCCCGTCCCCAGATCATCTTTAATGTCCATCCTGCCCCTACGTAAGTGACCAGTGACCACATTTGTTTCATGAGGTGCCAGAGATATCTTTTTACCCTTCTCAGTATGTGGCCTCACCAACTATAGTACCCTTCCAGCTAATTCCCTTTAAAGTGGGAGAAGATTATGGCCTCTTCTGAATATTATTTTTTCAATGAGTTGATTAGTGACACTGGTCACTAGCTGTGGTACCTACCCATAGTTATTCTTTTAACAAGCTCACTAGCTACTGGCATTCCTTGACCTTCATCCTCTTTTCAATGGTTTTGAGTGGTTTCTACTATGTTTTTACAATATTTAGCATGGCGTGGTTTCCCTCTATTCTATTATTGCCTTTGCTTCTCTGCTTTTTGATCCTGTATTCTGATATGAAGGCTGTCTACTATAGGCATCCCTTTCTTAAATTACAGCCATAATCCCCCAGGGTCAGTTATGATCCTTATGAGGTCCTGCTGGTAATTGGGTCACAAAAGCCAGATGGCCAAACCCGCAAATAAGCAAATTCTCTTCTTTGTAATCTTCTCTTGGGAAGTAAAAGTCCAATGTTAGTATCTCCCAGCCCCTTGATGTGAAGGCATACAAGATACACCAGCCAAATATCTGTCAGTCCTTGACTCACTCCCTCTTCTCACAGGAGAAAAATTGCTGTGGCCAAGCAGAATTACCGCTGTGCAGGGTGTGGTACCAGAACAGACCCTGGTGAGTATCTTCTTCCCACCTTGCTCCATGGGTTTCTCTTCCCCCGTGATCCACACTTGGGAGACAAGGAGGGATGTTCAGAGAAGAGAAGAAAAAAGAATGATGGACAGCATCCAGGGGAAGGAAAAAGAGACTGAGACAGGAAAGGGTGAAGTTGGGAGATCCCTAGCAGTCCATGTGAATATAATTGGTTGTCTTAGATTGTGTCGCTGGGATTGCGATGAAGGAGAAAGCTAGATGTTTCAACCAGGTCCCTAAAGGCTAGATCCTTAGCAGCCTTTGGGGGGCGGGGGAGGGGTTCTGTTATTCCCATGCCCTCCCTCCCACCAAAGACGCTGTCTGTTCCCCACCGTTAGTTAGATACAGGACCCTAGCTTTACTATTCTGTCTACCTTGGCCTTCCTGCTCCCCAGACTATATCAAGCGGCTTCATTACTGTGAATATCTGGGCAAGTACTTCTGCCAGTGCTGTCATGGGAATGCCCAGGCGGTCATCCCTAGTCGTATCCTGCGCAAATGGGACTTCAGCAAGTACTATGTCAGCAACTTCTCTAAAGACCTGCTTACCAAGATTTGGAACGATCCGCTCTTCAACGTGCAGGACATCAACAGTGCCCTCTATAGGAAGGTCAAGCTGCTTAATCAAGTCCGAGTAAGGCTATGGGAAGGGGTCCATCATAGACTCTTTCCCTTCTCATTGCCTCCTTTCTTTTGTGCACCACCCAGACTCTCCTCACGTCTTTCTACTTTTCTTCCTCTTGGCCTTGGACTTCCAAGTTAGGTTCCTTGTCCTTCTTGATTTTTCTTTCCCCTTCCCAGATGTTTAGCCTGAGGCAGAATCCCAAACCTGAGAATGGTCCCGAGTAATGGTTCCAAAGAAGCAGATTTAATGCCTTATGGATGTGTCATAAGTCTGTGGACATGAGTCACTCAAAAGTATTGTTACTGATAGATTAAGTATTAAGTATCTGCAGGTGGGGCTTTCTGAGTTCTTTTCTCAGTTGAGCCATCAGCGTTGTGAATTTGAGCAGACCACCCAGGTAACATAGACGGCCTTGGTTCCCCAGGTTGTCATCCCTTGGACTGCCCTTAGGAACAGGCTGGGCTGGCATACCAGGTCGTCTTCCAGTACAGTTTCATGGATAGGTAGGCTTCTTAGATGCCAAGGAATAGGCCTCTTCTGAAGCCCTCACTTGCCCTTTCTTCCCCTTCCTCACATCTCTTTACTCAGCTGTTGCGGATCCAGCTGTACCACATGAAGAACATGTTCAAGACTTGCCGGCTGGCAAAAGAGTGAGTCTCTCGTGGGCTGTGTAAACCTGGGATCCCTTTCTAGGAGCCACTGTCAAACTTTGGGGTGCCAGGACTTCTTCACACTCTTAAAAATCATTGAGGACCTCAAAGACTTGTTTCCATGGGTTAACTCTGCTGATATTTCCTGTATTAGAAATGAAAACTGACAGATTTTTAAAAATATTATTTTTTAAAAAATAAACCAAATACATCCTAACATCAATAACATTTTTATGAAAAGAGAACTGTTTTCTGAAGCAAAATTTAGTGAGAAGAGTGGAGTTGTTTTACAGATTCATACAGATTTATTTGATTTCTAGATTAATAGAAAAAAGCTAGAGTCTCATATCTGCTTTAGTATTCAATCTGTTGTGATATTGATTTGACTGAAAAATGTGAACAAAATCCAGCCTTACGCAGATAGATAATTAGAAAAGAGAGGAGTTTTTTATTTGGCAGATAACATCCCACTATTACTAGGAAAATAGTTTTGGCCCCGTAACACTCATTTCCTTCCCTATAATACCCCCAGGGGTCTGTGGACCACCCTTGGAGAACCACTGCTTTATAGTTTCTCTGTTTCTGAGCTTTGCCTAAGTAAAGCCCAGGCCACTGGCTCTTGGGAGATCTAAAAATGGCATCATGAAGACTCCATCACCAGTTGTGCTTTGGTCACCTTCATCTCACGGAAGAGACTTTTGGGGTGGTGACTGGAAGTATGAAGGAGGGCTATAATCTGTCTCCCATTTAATTGGATAGTGTCACTTTTCAGGAGCCTACTCACTGTCAGGGTAGGGGGAGTGGTTTGGTCTACAGCATGTGGGCATAGCAGGAGCATGCTCAGCTGGGACCCAAGGCTTTGTGGTTGCCCATACTTGGTCTGATGTAGAGGGCTGCTACAGGGCCTTATCCCCACTGCGTCTCCCTCCTGTGTCCTTACAGCCTTCTGGATGCCTTTGACATGGTGCCGGGCCACTTGACAGAAGATCTCCACCTATACTCCCTCAATGACTTGACCACCACCAAGAAGGGGGAGCTGGCACCTCAGCTCTCAGAGCTTGCCAGGGCAGGCACCACACACGTGCAGCACTGCATGGTGGGAACTTTTTGCTTTTTGATTCATGTGAATGCTTTGACTGATAGTCCAGTTCTGAGTAAATAGTGAAGGAAATAGTACAGGATTACTTTGTACTAGATTATTCTTGAATAGCTGCAGATAACAAGAAGGGAAACTTTCTCTTTCATGGAGGAGCAAATACTAGGAGAGTTCAGTCCTGGCAGGGCCCTTGAGTCACCTAGCACAAGTCTTGGTGTCCCAAATGCCTGAAATCCAGAGATCCCTTACTTCAGTGCTCAGACAATTTCCATTTTGAGTTCTTAGGGTCTCCCCTGTTGAGGAGCTTGGAGCAAGGGAAGGGGCACAGAATCTTGCTTGGGGTTAAGAGGATGGCAAAGGTTTCCACTTCCATGGTGGAGAAATGACCTTACCCTTTATATTTAATGTTTATTGTGTATTTAAGACATTTTGTTTTTAAATGATAATCCAAACTAGAACAATGTATTTAAGATGCCCTCGATACAGAGAATTTTGCTAACTGACCTTGAGGGCATTCCCTTCTCTTCTTTCCCCTCATTGAGATACAGCCCCATGGCCAAGGGCATCAGGAATCTAGTCTTGCTCTTGGCCTTTCTTTCCACAGCTTCTGCCCAACATTCTTTTTTTGTTTGTTTTTTTTATTTTGGCAAGGCAGTTAGGGTTAAGTGACTTGCCCAGGGTCACACAGCTAGTGTATGCTCTGAGACCGGATTTGAACTCAGTTCTTCCTAATTCCCAGAGCCAGTGCTCTATCCACTGCTCCACCTATCTGCCTCATGCCCAACATTGGGTTTTTTTTGTTTATTTATTTTGTTTTTGTTTTTTTTGCAAGGCAGTTGGGGTTGACTTGCCCAGAGTCACACAGCTAGTAAGTGTTATGTGTTTGAGACTGGATTTGAACTCGAAGTCCTCCTGACTCCAGGGCCAGTGCTCTATCCACTGCGTCACCTAGCTGCTCCTTTGCCCAACATTTTTGACCCACAGTTCTGTCCTCTTCTTCCCCTCTGGGGCTCTGGAGTTTGTAGTATGTGGAAGGAAGTGAATCAGGTCTCATGGCCTGTAGGAGAACACAGGCAGGCTTTCCAGCCCGGCGCTGTGTGTCCTGACTCCCCAGGCCCCAGTCCCTGCTCACACTGCCCTCCCATGTGATGGCCCCTTCATGCTGGCCCCTGGTATTCTGCCCTTCATCCCTTTCCTGTCTGTTTTCTTCTTCAGCTCTGCCAAGCCAAGGGCTTTATCTGTGAGTTCTGTCAGGACGAGGATGATATCATTTTTCCATTTGAACTTCATAAGTGCCGGACCTGTGAAGGTGAGGCCAGAGGGGAAGGGGGGAGAACAAAAGTAACCCACCTCACGCTGCCTTCTCAGTTGTCAAGAGTCACCTTTTGGAGTCCTGAAAAGGACAGCAGAGTGAGGTTCAGGAGGGCTGGGTTCTAGTCCTAGCTGTACCACCAGCTACCAAGGAACTGGAACTAGGTCTTTTAACTTTGGGCGCCCTCAATTTTCTTAATCTAAAGTAAAATATGGAAAATAAAGGAGTGAACCAGGTGATCTCAGGGGTCTTTTCCAGCTCTGGGATTTCAAATATGTTTTTGTTTGTCTTGTTTTAATGAACAACCACCTGTGCTATTTCATAATCCTACTCATCACTTTGTGGTGAGTTGTAGTTAATCCAAGCCCGGGATAACAGAGACCTGTTCTCTTCGTCTCTCTCCTTCTTCTCATTACCTCTGCTCCCGATTCTGTGTAGAGTGTAGAGCTTGTTACCACAAAGCCTGCTTCAAGTCTGGAAGCTGCCCGAAGTGCACACGGCTGCAGGCCCGAAGAGAATTGCTGGCCAAGCAGAGCCTGGAGTCCTGCGTGTCTGATTACGAGGAGGAGGGGACGGCTGAGGCCGTGGCTCTGGAGGCCACCTGAAGAATGGCGTGTGTCACGACACTCAAAACTGAGCCGTCCTATGGACTCCCCCCTCCCCAACCCACCCTGAGGGTTTTTTACTTTATTTTTTATAACTAATTTGAGCCCCTCATCTAGGCATCTTACCTGGTATGTGCCAGGTTACTGGGCTCCCTGTTTTCCAGTCTGCTATGGAAGAGGATTGGTGGGGAACCAAAAATTTCCTCCAAGACTGGCAAGGACTTCTAGACGTCACTTCCTTTGCCCCCTTCTGGTCCTTCAGCGCCAGCCTGCCCTTCCTGGCTACTGCCTCATATCCTCAGTACATATCCCACTCTTTTCCTGTTGGTACTAGAGCTTCCGAACCAAGGTTTTCCCAAGTCCCTAGCAGAACCTACTTGCTTCTCCTTTCCTACTAAAACAGGAAATGTTATTTTTTTCTTCCTCTCTCTCCTCAACCCTGGAATTGGGTTAGACTAAACCCTGAGGAGAAGCAGTATAAAGTAGAAATAGCATCCTGGGCACGCTGCACCTACTGTGACTTCCCAGGCAAACGAAATGTCCACAGAGCCTATTCTGGTGGGGTTGGCACAAGGGACAGGAACAGAATAGCCCTCTGATAGCAGCTCCTGTAGCTGTCCAAGCAAAACACGTGTGGCCGAGGCAGCGGCTCATTGCTTTAAAGGGGATTCTTCATGTAGTTGGGATTGAGGTGTGTCTCTCCTGTGTGTGTTCTGTCAGCCCTTGTTGCATGTTAGTATTCTAACCCTTAGCCATTTCAGCATCGTGGGGGGAGAATCTTTGGCAGTCAGGCACGTTCCCTCATATCACCATAAACTGAGTGCAGAAATCCTGCTGCCTTGCTTAAGGGTTGTCCCGCTGCTGGGCCTCCGGTCATTGGTGACTGTAGGTAAAGCCCAGCTCTCCTTCCTCTTTGCGTCCAGCAGTGAACCCAGTGCCATCCTTGGTGCCCGGTCTTTGTTGTCATTCCTTTTGTGGTAGGTACTGCCCCCTAGGGAAGACAGAGCCAATCTGTCGCTGTAAGTGGCTGGGTGCCTGTGGGAAAGTGACTTATGTTCCTCCTTTTACTAGACACAAGTCAACTATTGCCAATTATGCACTTAAAAACCCTTAATCTATCCTGGTGACACTTAGGTATTCAGTTGTCCTTTTCGTTTTAAATTATTTTTTCATTTTATGTACTTTGGGGAAAAGTTTTCAGTTTGGAAATGTATGCATATGTGAAGGTCTTTTGGTCATTTCTTATTGTTGTCTGTGTCCTTGTCTACCACAAGTAAAAGCAATAGCCCCAGACTTTGAGGATTGCTGCTTTCTGGACTGCCGTTGGGCCCTTTTGTCTGCATGTTCCTGTCTTCCTGCTGTTGCGTGTGTCTAACGTGGGCAGTCTTGCCCGTGTTCGGTCTCAGGGAGGGGAACTGAAGGTTGTGTGTGTTCAGTGGCAGCCAATGGAGGGAATGAGGCGTGAGCACCATGGAAGTGAGTCTCAGTGGAAGAAAAGGTGTGATCAGAGCACGACCATAGGGTGGGTAAGTAGTACAACTCCTGTGGAGGATCCTCAGTATGGCTCAGTGTGACCCCAGTGCTAGCCTCCGGTCATTGCTGCTTGAGCCTCCACAGAACCCAATTGGCCTATCCCACCCTTAATCTCTCCACCTTTAGGCTTGGAAGCCCTTTTGCCACCTCCCAGAACCTGGAGAGGGGCCTTGAAAAACTGTGGTGATCTCTGCCTTCAGCTTTGACATAGGCTACCAGGCCAACCTTCCTTCATCTAGTCCCTCAAGGAGGGAAAAATGTGCCGTCTAGCTGCCCTGCCCATTTGCCATTAGCTCCTCAGCCCGGCTGAGGAATCTTGCAGTTTTCTGATTCTTTCATTTCCTTCACCTCATTCCAAGTTGTTAATCTGGTTCAGTAACTGTAAAAACCCTATCACCGTCCAAAGGGCCTCTGGTTTTGAGTTTTGTTTTTTAGGGGATGGCGGGATGAGGAGCAGGGAGGGCAAAAAAAAGGGAGGAGAAGGACATTGTATGTGTGTATGAGGGGGGGAATGGGATATGAGAATGTTTTAAAAGCACTTTTCCAACTTTTCAGTATCTGAAAACCCAGTGTTCTGTATGAGGAGGGATTTCTCTGTGCACTGATTTAATTTGGGGGTGGGGTAAAGGAGCCACTGAACAAAGTTTCTTCTCCTATATGGAGTGGGTGGAACTAAGTATTTATTTTCTGTAAGTGAAGGAAAAGGCAGCTGCTTATGAAAGTGGGGACAAGATTCAAGATATGGCAGAGGGGTGGAAAGTAAATATTCTACACCAATGAGGCTGTTCTTCACTTTCTCCACCAAGATATTAGAGTCTGTTGTAATAAATAATGTGATTAATGTGTTGAGTATAAATAGAGATGGTCCATCTGTATGTCATAAAGTACATTGTATTCTGAGCTGGATTTTTGCTTGCTGTATTGTACTTCTTACACAGTCTAACAGTCCAATGTCACCTTTAATAAACTATGGAAATGAAATTCTTGTTGTTCTCTCCCGTCCTTGCTGATAAGGGGCCCACCAGGAGCAGAGCATGTCCAAGAATGGGCAGGTTTCCCAGTCTGGGCCATAGTGTGCACAAAAGGATCTTTTATATGTCATATTAGTTTGGCTAGAACGTGACTTATTAAACATCCACCTCTTTTGGTTCAGCAGTTTCACTCATCATGTCTGTGTTCATCTATAGTTCCGGTCTTGGCTTCTGTCTAAGGTTCTCTTAAAACTCCAGATGCTTGTTTGACATTTCCACATGAATATTCAAACCCATGTCGAAAACAAATTCATCTTCTGAAGTTGGTTCCTGATCCTACGTAACCTATTTTTGTTAGAGAGACTGAAAAAAAATATGGTATTCTAAATTGTAGGTACAAGTCTGCCAGAAACAATTTTTATTGATTTAGTGTTATCCTAATACAAGCATTTTTGTAGCATAGAGAGAGAAATGGCGAAACTGGCAGTCTCTTCATTCCCTTGAACATCTCTCCCACATGACTTCTTCCAAATTTTGAAGTAATATTTATCGGATTCTTGAATAAAGAAATTCCACACATTGATAAAACATAGTTACACAATGAGGGTAAAGTTGACATTTTGATTCATCAATCCAGAACAATAGTTAATTTTAGAGAATAATTTCCCTAAAACTACTATTCAATCCCTCGTATTCTTCCCTTCCCTCCTCCCTAGCTGATTACAGGGAACTTTTATGTAATTTAAAACAGTGGTGTTAAATAGAACTGGGATCCCTGCAGGCCAAATATTGTCTTAGAAAACCACAAATTAACATCTGTTGTTGTGTTAGGTTTTTATTTATTCTGTTAAACATTTCCTGATGAACATTTTAATCTGTTTGGGATGGGACAGTTACATGTTTGACACTTACATCTCTGGTCAAAGAGACCTCTGCCTTTTCTTAGTGGTTCATCATCCTTATCCCTTCAGGGCTTTTGGAAAGAGCTCTTTGGTGATTCTGTCAAAAGATCCCTTTGCTCTTATCCTTTGATGGTCATTACTTCAGCTACTTCAAGAGATGAAATGGGCTAGTCAAAGAGAGGGAGCAGGACACTTCTTTAGTATGGATAGGGAAAGACTGATGAGAATGTAAGATATATATGTGGGTTGTCTGAATATGTAGGCACTGGTTGCATGGGTAGATGATTTGAGGTTTGGCCTGCCTTTGTGGAAAGGAAAGGAGGCAAAGGGCCGCGCCTGCATCACCAGCATGCTTCACACTTACTACCTGTGTCCCTCCCCACTAGACGTTACACAAGAGACCCTCAGAGAGAGTAGATCCATTTATCCAATCAAAGAAGCAGAAATTGGAGAAGTTCTACAGGTTAAAATACACAAAAACAAATGAGCTTGTCAGCTTGGGAGCAAGGTAATATCTCAGTTCAAACCTGGAGAGAAAGAATGATCTCACCCAAAAGGAGGTGCTCAATAGTCGCTCAATAGTCTAAAATTACAAATCCTGGAGATCAAGAACATGATGGGTCTGACTCCCATGCTTTCCACAGCTTAACGGGCATATAGTTAGCTCTTTTCTATTGAGGAGGTCATTTCTCCCATCAATAAATATTTATCAAATGCCTGTTATTTGCCAGTCACTGTGATTAGCACTAGGGATACAAAAAGAGGCAAAAGACAAACCCCATCCTCAAGGAGCTTACAGTCTAATGGGGGAAAACATGCAAACAAATGTATACAAAGCAAGCTGTATACAAGATAAATAAATGAGGGAAGGCACATAATTAAGAGGGACTGAGAAGGGCTTCCTGTAAAAAATAGGATTTTAGTTGGGACTTAAAGGAAGTCAGTAGATGGAATTGAGGAGGGAGAGAGCATTCTAGACAGTGAGAAAATGCCCAGAGGCAAGAGATGTATCTTGTCCGTGGAACAGCCAAGAGAGCAGTGTTAGATCAGTGAGTACATGTTGGGAGTAAAGCATAAGGAAACTAGAAAGGAGGGGGCAGGTTAGGAAGGGCTTTGAATGCTAAACAGTATTTTGTATTTGGTTCAGAAGGCAATAGAGAACCGTTGGAGTTTAACAGGTAGAGTGATGTGGTCAGATTTGCACTTTAGGAAAATCACTTTTGGTAGCTGAATGGAGGATGGGGTCCGGGCAGGGGGGTGGGGGTGGGGACTTGAGGCAGGTGATTGCAATAATCCAGACAAGGAGTGATAATGACCTGCTCTGGACTGGTGTCACTATCCGAGAAGGGGGGCAGATATGAGATGAAATCAACAGGCCTTGGCAACAGACTGGATATTGGGGGTGAGATGGGAAAGAGTCCAGGATGATGCCTAGGTTGCGTGCCTGAAGGATGGGGAGGATGGTGCTTCCCTCCATAATAAAAGGAAAAGTGGAGTGGGGTGGGGGTGGGAGGGAGGTTTTGGGGGAAAGAATGAGTTGTTTTGAATAGGTTTAGCTTAAGATGTCTACTGGGTATCCCGTTTGAGATATCTGAAAGGCAGCTGGATATACAAGATTGCAAGTCAGCAGAGAGGCTGGGGAAGGACAGGTGGATTTGAGTATCACTAACATAGAGATAATTAAATCCATGGGAGCTGATGAGGTCACCACATGAAATAGCGTAGAGGGAGAAGAGACAGGACAGAACCCTGAGGAACACCTACAGTTAGAGGCATGCTCTGGAAGAGGAAAAGGAGACGAGAATGGGCAGTCAGAAAAGTAGGAGGAGAACCAGGGGACAGCAGTGCCCCAAAAAGCCAGAAAAGAGTGCATCTAGAAGGAAATGATGGCCAACAGTGTCAAAAGCTGCAGAGAGGTGGAGGAGAATGAAGACTGAGAAGAGACCTTCAGATTTGGCCACTTTGGAAAGAGCAGTTTGGGTGGAATGGTGAGGTCAGAAACCAGCTGAGGGTACTTAAGAGAGTTGGGGGAGAGAAAGTGGAGGCAGAAGAGATATAAGACAATAGTGGGAATGGCAGTATCTAGGGAGATTTTTCAGGTTGAGGGAGACAAAGGGCTATAGTTGGCAATTGAAAGTCTTTCCCCACTGCTTCCCAGGAGGTCCTTTCTCCATATGGGAAAGTCTAAAGACTCTCAAAATCCTCTAGAACCATCTGAAGTCTTTAAAAGTAGATACATGGCATCCCCTCTGCCAATCAGGAGTCATGTCTTCCTCTGTCTAAGCAGTAACCCATAGTACCAACCTTCCCTCTGCAAAACTGCCTGAGGCTTTGGTGCAATCTGCAAAGATCAGTCCAAAGGCTTTAGAGTAGAATTTTTTTAATGCTTTTATAATATTCCTAAGGAAGGGAGCAAGGTCTGCTTCCAAGTACTATTATTCCCCAGTCACCCAGCATCAAAATCTTAAATTGTGTTTGGCTACTATTTCTGTGACTCAGGTGCTGGAACAAGCACAACCTTGGACACATAACTAATGGGTCACTAAGTCCCACAGATTCTTCTGTTGTATCTCCTCCATCCATCCCTACCACCTTTGTTCAGGTCCTAACTACTGGGGTGACCTTCCAGTCTATTCAGCTCACTGCCAGCAGATGATAGGGTCATCAGAGTTGGAAGGGATCTCAGAAATCATCTGGTCCAATTCCCTCCTTTTATAGATGAGGAAACTGAGCCCCTCCTCCCACATCTTCACAGTCTTCTAAGTAGCCTCTCATTTTCTGCAGTAAAGCCAATTCCTTAATTTTGAATGGCAGCCTGGCCTCAAACAGATGATTGTATCCTGTAAAGCAAGGTGCTGTAATGCAAGAGCAGCCCTGGCTCTGGAACCAGAAAACCTGAGTTCAAATTCTGCCCCTGATGACCTTAGACAAATCAGTTAACTTTCCTGGGCCTCAGTTTCCCCATCTATAAAATCAGATGATTTAGCCTATGCCAATTTTACTAGTTGGTCCTTTTCAGCTCTAGATCTGAGCTCCCCTGTAAGAATAGGTTTGGGGTTTTATCAATTTCCCCAACATTTAAGCAAACTAGGGATCTCACTTTTCCCATCCAACAAAGGCAGAGTTGGAAAAAAATTAGAGCGAGCTCTGTAAATGAGTGCACAAACTCAATTCTATCACATAGAGTGAAAAGCAGTCAAAAAGGCCCCCATCCCCAATGGGCTTAAGTCACAACAGATGTGTACACAGTTTTCGAGAAGACAACAAAAGCTTTCTAAAGGTTGGTCTGACTTGGTAATTAATAATTTGCCAGAAATACCCAAAGGAGAGGATGAATTATTCCACTACCACCCCATCCCCCACAACCCAACACTTGATTTGAATGATTAAAAGCTACATAATTCTGAATCAGACACATTCTCACAGAGGTATAGACAAAAGCTGCATTTCAATAGATTTTATAAACTCCAGAGTTTTAACGAAGAAAGACTGAATACTCCCATTAACAGAAGGTGTAAGTTCTAGGTTCTCCAGATACAGAAACCAAATTCCAGAGAAGATATAAACAAAATACTCAAAATGCATATTTGAACATTTCAGGGATGTATCTGTAAAGCTTTAGGCTATTGTAAAAAATAAACTTTTATTGATATCTTTTGTTTATATGCCTCCTATATTTCCTACCATATTCATCCCCCCACCACCTCCCAGAGAACATTCCTTATAATTAAGCTGCACAAAACTAAACATTTCAAAAAACATATGATGATATATATGCAGTGTCTCACACCCATGGTCCGCTGCTTTTACAAAAGGGCATGGCAAAGTGTCTCCTCTCTCTTCTTTGGGCCAAGATTGGTCTTTGTAATTTCCCAGCATTCAGTTTTGATTGTTTTGCAGTTGTCTTTATATCACTGTGCCCACTGTGTCTGCTTACTTCATTCTGCATCAGTTCAGTATTTCCATCCTTCTGTCTCCATTTCTTACAGCACAGTAATTACTCCATTTTTCGGGCACCGCCATTTGTTAAACCACTTCCCCAAGTGAAGGGCATCTACTTTGTTGCCAGTAACCGTCACCAAGGCAACAAACAAACCTCAGGCTGGAAGTGGTTCTCCTGGGTAGCCTAGCAACCTGAGAACTAAAGTTCAGTTCACATCGAGGATGACCTGCCCTATTCTGATGAATTGAAAACCATCCTTCTGACAGCAGTGTATCTAGATAAATACCTAGGCTGCCTAAAACAGGAATTCTTAACCTTTTTGAGTACTGGAGCTAAAGAAACAGAAAGCAAAGAAAGCTAGGTTCTAGTTTGACATCAATTTCCAGGTAACATCTGTGAAGCTCTTAGAAACAGACAACCAAAAAGCCCTGTTAAGCCAGAGGGAGATTCTCTGTCACGTAAAACAAAGCATTGATGCTTGGAAGGAGGTAAGAAACAAGAAAGAGCAGGAGCCAGCAAAGCCATTTAAACAAAAGAATGGAGCCTGGGCTGCAGGCTCTCCCCCAGTCACTGCCCTCCCGACAGAGTGCTTTGTGCGGGGAAGAAACTGGATTTAAGGAGAGAAGTTGGAAGTGGAAAGACTGGAGAAGCGGGTGTGGGGTCCAATGTTCCCTTAATCTGCAGAACTGTATTTTCGTTCAAACTCTGCCACATCAAACTTCCTCTTACAGCCGGCATAATTCATATAGCGGATCTTTCCAAAGATCTCACGTTCTGCCCAGCCCTGGTCATGGATGCCACAGATGGACCACATGCAGCCTGTATCACAGGAAAGAAACAGAGGGAATAAATTAAAGGCAGCTAGGTGGCACAGGCCCAGAGTCAGGAAGAACTGAGTTCAAATCCAACCTCAGACTAGCTTTGTGACACTGGATAAGTCATAGCCTCAGTTTCTTCACCTGTAAAATGGGGGTGATAATAACACTTACCTTCCAGGATTGTTGTGAGGATCAAATAAGATCACTGTAAAGCAGTTAACACAGTGCCTGACACATAGTAAGTGCTATGTAAGTGTTAGTTATTATCATCATCATCATTATTATTATTATTATTACTACTAGTTGTTTGACCCTGGGCAAATCACCTCTGTTTGCCTCAATTTCTTCATCTGTAAAACGGCGTTCATAATAGTACCTACCTCCCAGGACTGTTGTGAGGATCAAATGATAGAATAATTGTAGGGCGCTTGCCTGGCACATAGTAAGTGCTATATAAATGTTATTATTATTATTATTGTTATTATTAACACTAGCTGTGTGATCCTGGGCAAGTAATGTGACATTTCTCAGATTCTGTTTCCTCATCTGAAGACTAGAAATAATAGCATCTACTTCCCAGGTGCTGTGAGGATAAAATGAGATAATATTTATAAAGCACTTTACAAGCCTTAAAAGTGCTACATAAATGCTATTGTTGCTGTTTTTATTTTTATTAAAGAAAGAAGTCATTCCATCCTCAACAACTGTCATCATCCCGCTCTGTGCCTTTTCCCCATTCAGTGGTGAAACATCAGAACCAGAGAGAAGGCTAAGTCTCCTTTTCTGAAGGTATTTAAAGAGGAAGAAAGTTCCCCTTACCCAAATTACCAAAAGCAGGGCTTTAAGTGTTGGTTTGATTGGAATTGTTGGTAATTTCCTACAGGAACCAATTCTGAACGTCAGATTCAAATGCATTTCAGAAGAAAGTCAATCCAAGGCTATCCTGGATAATAGCAACAATAACATCATTATCAACATAATTGATTTAAGGTTTGCAAAGTGTTTTACAAATATCTCATTTTATCCTCACAATAACCCTGAGGAGGGGTATTATTACTCCCACTTCACAGGAGGAAGCTAAAGCAAATAAAGGCTAAGCCACTTGTCCAGGGTCATACAGCTAGTATCTGAGGCAGGATTTGAACTCAGTTCTTTCAGACTAGCAGGCTAGCATTCTATCACTGAGTGACCTGAGTGCCTAAGGTCTGCCACAAGACTTAAGAGCATAAATTCAGAGCTGAAAGGACTTTAGCAGGCAACTAATTCAACCTGTTCATTTTACAGATGAGGAAACTGAGGCCCAGAGAACTCATGAGCACGTAGGGTTAAGATCTGAATTTGTTTCCTCTAGCTACAAATCTAACGAATGCTCTTCCCGCTACAGCATGCTGTATATTGAGAAAGAAGCAAGGATTCTAAGGTAGAAGTTAGCCGGGCAAGTCACTTAACCCTGTCTGCCTCAGTTTCCTCATCTGTAGAATGAGCTGGAGAAAGAGATGGTAAACCACTCCAGTATCTCTGCCAAGCTGCCTTGAAATCAATAATGCCTATTCCTTGGGTCTGACCACCCCTCCCCACACATCCACCCTATCTTGTTTCCTTCCTTGGCCCGAGTGGAGGTGTGTGTGTGGGGCACGTGGTGGGTTGTTGTTCAGTCGTGTCTGACTCTCCATGACCCCATTTGGGGTTTTCTCGGCGTGAGGAAGCATAGCGGCACAGTGGGGAGGTAGGAATGAAATGACCAGCCCAGCCTCCTTTACTAGTGGGATACAACAGAAACAGCACTGGGCTTGGAGTTACGAGCTGGGGTTTGAACCCTTGCTTTACCACTTCCTACCTGGTGGCCTCTGGGCAAGTCATTTAGACTTCTGGCCTTGGTTTCCTCACTTGTGAAATGAAGTAATTGGACCAGGTCTCTCCAGTCATCTGGCTCTAACTCCATGAGCCTATTATGCCAGAGTCACACAGCTAAGCAAGTGTTACGTGTCTGAG